TTTCACACTTTCGTCAGACCTTTGCTTCTTTTTGTATACATTAAAAGTATTGAAGACATTGGGGCTGAATTTAATGTATACAAAAAGAAGCAAAGGTCTGACGAAAGTGTGAAAGAGTATTGTATACGTTCGCTTCACCTTCGTCACACTCTCGCTATACTTTCAATGCAAAATAAGCATTAAGAAATAAACATGAAAATGAAGGTGTGAGCAAAGTGTAGATAAAGTGTACGGTGGTCTGGCATGTTCACGCGGGTGGTGTAAAGTAATTTCGTGTTTGGTTATTTTGACTATACAATTTTCAGGTGAATATAAAATCCTGATTCTTTCAATTTTTTGTAAGTTTTAATATGTTTTTATCGTTTTAGGAATAAAATCAATGCTCGATTTTGAAAAAGAAATTGAAATTTCGTGTATTTCAGACAATTTTGCTATTGAATTCAATACATTTTATCTGAAGTGTGATGAAACGATGGCAAATCATAGTTTTAAATTTCACGAGGGTGAAATTGAAATAATTAAAAAATTAGTTGGAAAACGAGATAAAATTATACTTTTCTTTCTTGGCTATGAGGATCAAATGCCCATAGTTCGTGAGTATTAAATCTAAATCTTGAAGTTTAAGAAACAACTAAAACAAATTCGCAATTTAATATAAACAAGCCGGACGACATTTGAGAATTGCAAGAGGTATATACAAACAAAATCATATTCTCCATGTTGCTCAACTAAATATATTTTTCTATGTAGAACAATTCTATTGGTGAGATCTAAAAGAACGCAAGTGTGTTCGACTTTGTCGCAATAAAGGAATGTATGTTTTGCGCCAAGTAAATTTTGAAAAAAGAGAGTATGTATTACGGCTGAATCAGTTATTGGAAAAGGAATGCATGTTTCGCACCAGATAAATTTTGAAAAAAGAGAGTATGTATTTCGGCTGAATCAGTTGTTGGAAAAGGGATGCATGTTTCAGTTTTGTTGGTTTGGATAAAAGAACGTAAGTGTCTTTGTTCTGGAAGTGGGCTTTGGTGGATCCTCAGGATCATCAGAACCGCTCCCAGTTCTGGAAGTGGACCCTCAGGATGGGCCAGGGCATTGTCAAACCATAGTCTGGTCCATCCTGAGGATCCACCAAAACCCGCTTCCAGAACTGGGAGCGGTTCTGATGATCCTGAGGATCCATCGAAGCCCAGTTCCAGAAAAATCATCGTTAAACATGCATCCCTTTTTTAACAACTGATTCAAAATCACTTACTTTCCTTTTGCAAAATTTATTTGGTGCGAAACATGCGTTCCTTTATCAGCAACTGATTAAGCCGGAAAACATACTTCCCTTTTACAAAATTTTTTTGGTGCAAAACATACTTTTCTTTTAGTAAGACAGAATTGGCAAAACACATACATTCCTTTTCCAAAATTTAAAGCGAAAAAAAAACATACGTTCTTTTAGATCTCACCCATAGAATTATTGAATTCCAAATCAACAGCTTGCGTTATAAGTTACGATTTTTTGCAAGGACCCAACATATTCAAGGACTTGCAATACTTTACGACACTCAAAAATAGATTACCAAAAGTGGTAGATACCATTGTTTTTCGCTTAAAAATAATCTATTTGATTCTTTTTTTCATTGAATTTCAGGTCGATATGTCAACATCTTTTATTCAAAATATTGTTGATTCGAATCACTTCAAAATAAAATTTTCCTCTGTATATTTGTCGGGGTTTAGTTTGGTCGGACATGTAGCGGGTAATGTGGGACTTGAACTGCAAGGAATCTACGATGGAAAAATGGTGCCAGCCATTTGGGGTAAATAATTTCGTTTTGAAGATTTTTCATTTCCCTTTGGAATTTTTATGAAGGAAATAAATTTTCTAAATGTGGCAAAAAGCATTCGATGCACCGCATATCGGCTTTCCATATCCGATAGAAGACGGAAAACCGCGACGAGTGCAAAAAGGCGACGGTAAACTTGTTGTAGTTTTTCATTCATCTTGGATAGGAGGCAAAGAAACTATAGTAGATGTTGATGTTATTTTAAACAACGGAAACAACCAACCAGGTCAATTGTTTATTTATGTAAAAAAAAATATGTAATTTTAATTGTGGTATTGCTATACAGGTTGTGAAAATCCTACAACATCCTTGAAGTGCAGCCATCGAGCTGCGTTCATTCTTCGGGAGCTAATAATTATAGAGAAGAGCAATAGACTGTTGAAAAATCGATGGGGAATTCCATATGCACAGTCGATGACAACTTTTTCGATCAATTTCCCTTAGATATTACTAGCCCTTCTTTCGATAAACATGGGATATATCGTTTACGCACTGGCAAGATATTCGGTACAGATTCAGATGCAAGCCTATTCAGCTTATTCAGCCAACAAAGTATAGAAAAAGTTTTGCACGCTTTTAATTTGAAAAGGAGTTCAAGGAGCAATGAATGAATAATCATCATAAATGCATTTTAATCAATAAATAAAAAAGAAAGAATAAAAATTGTTGCCATTTTTTTTCTACAACAAAATACTTTTATTTCGAACTTCATATTATAAAAAAGTGGAATGTTATAAATTCCACACTGTAGTAACAATAAAAACACATTTTTCTGAAGAAAATTTGTGTAAAATGAGGTTTTTATTCGAAATGACCCAAGAAGCGGTCCCATATTTATGTATAGTCGTTGACAAAACAATGTTCCAAAAATACATACAAAAATACAAACACTAAAGCAGCATTTTCTGTAGCTTATTTGTATGTTGATGTTTGTTTTCATTTGTATTAGTTCATCTAATTGCGTATATACAAATTATGAATTCCATGAGTTTCAAGTTATCCATTTGGTGCCTCAAAATTTTAAGCATTGCATTGGTTCAGTGGTTACGCTTACGGTGCATGACACTGAAAGTCTCAGGTTCGATTCCGTGTGAAAACAATTTTTTTTTCTTTCATCTTTTTTTCTTATTTTTTTTATTTCATAGTTTTTTTGCATTGCTCCTAATTTTTGTTATATTTTTTCGAATTGCTCTATTTATTCATTATGAGTGGAAGAAACAAGAAAAAAAAATATTTATCTTTCATTTGCTTTGAAACTAGACATATTAAATCTTATTAACATTTTATGGCGAAATGTCTTGTTTTTGAAGCAAATGTACGATGAATCATTTTTTTTCTTGATTCTTCCATTCATAATGAATAAATAGAGCAATTCGAAAAAATATAACAAAAATTAAAATAAAAAGAGAAAAAATATTTTGTTTTCACACAGAATCGAACCTGGGTCTTTCACTGTTATGCGTAACCAAGGAAACATTTGAAATTATATGGTGCCAAAAAGCGACACTAAAATCAAAGCGATGTTGAAATACATTAGTAAAATCTTTATTGCGCAGCAAAATTCAGGGTGTCTCATATAATCGGGTTTTCCAGGGGGATGGGAATTTTGAAAAACCCTTTGGGGAGTATGTTGGGGATAAAAGATAGAAAATTTCTATCTGAGCAGAATTTTGAATTTTCCCCAGGGGGGGTGGGAGTGCCCCCAATTTTTCAAAAGTTCATCGGATCAAAAAATAATGTACTACAAAGTTGTTCAAAATGATGAGAAAAAATTTTTAGGATCCCTTTTTATTTTAATTTTTGTTATATTTTTTTCTTGTTTCTTCCACTCATAAAAAATGGAGCAATGCAAAAAAACTATGAAATAAAAAAAATAAGAAAAAAAAAATGAAAGAAAAAAAAATGTTTTCACACGGAATCGAACCTGAGACTTTCAGTGTCATGCACCGTAAGCGTAACCACTGAACCAATGCAATGCTTAAAATTTTGAGGCACCAAATGGATAACTTGAAACTCATGGAATTCATAATTTGTATATACGCAATTAGATGAACTAATACAAATGAGAAATAAAAAGTGTTTTTGTGCATAACATTTCATTTCCAATAATCAGAACACAAATACAGCCATAGCATATAGATTATAGCGATTATAGAACGCAGCGTGTATTACAGTGTAATATACATCTGTGATTTTCATAGTAGGAACATTGTTTTGTCAACGACTATACCTAAAATGTTACACACCATTTTTGTCCTTGCACAGCATATTTGCATAGATATGCAAGCTGAAATATTGTTCAAATTATAATATTTTGCTATAGATCTGAACATTTTAGATAACTAGTGAAATTTACTATAATTTTTCTCTGAGTCATGTTGAAAAACGTAAATTTATAATTTTGTCTGTCTGAGAATGTTTCAAATGCGTGCCAATCCAATGTGATATCGAGTTTGGTATTCTAAGTGTAGACTGCATAATTCAAATGTAAATGACAATTTTTTGTCGAAAATTAAATTTATGCGTCAGCAACGAATGAGTATAAAAGTAAGTTGGTTTGGTTGCTTTATTCAAGTAAGAGAATTTACTTTGTAAAGTAACAAAACTATTTCAAATTTGTCATGATACGGTGTAACATTTTGTCTATAGTATTATTTACTATACAATTCTTGAGTGAGTACTTGTAGTTATAAAATTGTTACATTTTTATAATAAATTATAAATTATTTCAGGAACGAACTCAGACACGATTACGACGCCTAATTATGACAAAGAAATTGAAATCTCATGTGTTTCTATCAATGCGTGAGTTTGAGACAAGCGAAATTTGCAAAATCGAAAGATTAAGTCACTCAAATATTTTCGAACTCAAACATTTCAGCGCTGAGGAATTCGATTCATTTCATCTTAAATATGATTCAAAAATGGCCAAATATAATTTTAAATTTCTTGACGGTGAGATTGAAAAAATCAAACTGATGATCGGCAACCGGAAAAAATTGATACTATTCTTTCTGGGCAATCAAGCTCATCTACATAGTGCTTGTGAGTATTGATTTCTCCAATAATTACAAAATCAAATCAAATTTAATTCTATATTCAGCTGGCAGACAGTTTCGAATTGCAAAAGGTACATTTGATGCAATGAATGATTGTATGATTGCCTTAATCATTTCATCATTTTCTGCTTAGAACAAATGCAGAGTACAAATTCCAGCGTGCGCACCATTAGTTACGAGTTTCTATCTGAGCCAGACATTTTCAAAGATTTATTATATTTTTCGGCGCTTAAGTATCGTGTTCCACGCGTCGTTGAAATGGCAACATCTTTTATTCAAAATATTGTCGATGCAAACGATTTCCAAATTAATCTGTCTTCTGTATATCTGTCGGGATATTGTTTGGGTGGTCATATTGCGGGTAATGTGGGACTTGCTTTGAAAAACATATATAATGGTCAAATGGTTCCTGCCGTATGGGGTAAATATGTGAATTTCGAACATTAATTTGGTTATTTATCGATAATATTTGTGTTTCAAAAAAGCATTCGATGCGCCACATATCGGTTTTCCGTACCCAATAGAAGAGGGAAAGCCAAGAAGAGTGCAGAAAGGAGACGGTCAATTGGTAACCGTTTTTCATACCTCCTGGATAGGAGGCAAAGAAAACATAGCCGATGTCGACGTGATTTTAAATGATGGTGTACATCAACCAGGTTAAAAATCATTTTCACTTTTTATTAATCCAAATAACGATTGAGATTTGTATTTTTGAATCTTGTTACTTGATTTTTAGGTTGCGAAAACGAATCGATATTATCAAAATGTAACCATCAGGCTGCATATATTCTGTATCAATTAATTATACAGAAAAGTTTCATGCTGCCAACAAATGAAAAGGGGATTCCATTTGCACACTCAAAGGCAAATCTATCCAATCAATTTCCATTAGATTTCACTAATCCACCTTCCAATCAAAGTGGAGTTTATTATATACTTACTGCCGATATTTTTGGAAGCAATTAGAAACTTAGATTCTTTTAAATTAAAAAGTATTAATAAGAATATATATTTGCAATAATAGAATAAAAGTCAAACTGAATAATTCCACTCGAATTATGGTGACATTTGTTTGAAAATTCATTTCGGAAGAGTATCTCAAGAGCTGTAAACTAAGCAAATTTTATCAAAATGATAGGACTCGAGCTATGACGTATATTCAAAGTTGTAATAATTTTACAAATCCTCCTTCCAATAAAAGTGGTTTTATAAATACTGCCAAAATATTTGAACGTAATAGATAATTATCTGTTATAACAGTTATTTTGTATCGTATTATATCATTTTTGTTCGTTGCAAACTCGCTCGATTCATCGATAAACAGAATTTATTCTTGTTATTCAAAATATGGAATTTTTCAACCGAATTCTTTGGCAAATAATCGATTGTCTTATTTTACTTATTAAATTCAGTTTGTGAAATAAAAAAGACAAATTCGGATGGCGAGTGAATGATGATTTTATATGAATTTTTATCTTTGATATTTTTTACTATATATCAGGTAAATATCAAAAATATTATATTATGTTGATCATAACAGAATTAAGCTTACATGGCATTGTTGCTATGTTTCATTTGAAAAACGGGGTTTCGAATGAATTTCACATCTCATTTACAAGACACACGAAATTTTAATTTTTGAACTAAATTGTTCTTCTGCAAACATTTTTCGCAAACACGTATATATACATATATCACAAATTATTTATTCACAATATAAAATGCCAATTCAAATGAGCTCTTGAAATGTCGTCATCATCTACTGTATTCGTAGTATTTTATTTGCTTCAATCGACCGAAATTTTTTAGTTTGTGAGCAAATAACGAAATTGCATCATCATGTTCATGCTTTGTTATAAAGTAACCTTATCGTTACTTCTTTTAACCGTGAAATTCTCAGGTGATTAATTACTATTAATACAAGAGTTGTTATTAATACAAAAAAGAATCGAAGTTTGTCCAGAAAATTAAAATAAGCTTAAAACAACTCTTTTTCAATTCCTTTTGTTTTTAGAAATAAAAGCGTTGCCTGATGTTGAGAAGGAAATACAAATATCCTGCGTGTCGAATGAAAATGCTACTGAATTTAGCATATTTCATCTCAAATATGACCCAATAATGGCTAAACATGGTTATACATTTTTTGAGGGAGAAATTGAAAAACTCAAGGAGATGATTGGTCATCGAGAAAAAATAATATTTTTCTTTTTGGGTCATGAAGATTTTTTACACAAGATCTGTAAGTATTCTCTTCACCGATAAATGTCTTGAAAATAATTATAATTATATAAAAATTCTATCAGCTGGTAAAAGCTTTCTCATAGCAAAAGGTAGACTAATTGATTTTCGTTTTAAGCAAGCATCAGTACCCTCTTTAACTTATTTATTTTATTTCTGATTTAGAGCAAGCTTCAAAGACGGGCGCAACCGCCTGTACCATCAGCTATGATTTCCTCGGAGATGTAAACGAGCTTTTAAAGTTTTCGCAATACTTTTGGTCGCTTGATAAGCGTATTCCAAGAGTTGTTGAAATGGCGTCATCTTTCATCCAAAACATTGTTGATTCAAAACATTTCAAAATAACGTTGTCTTCAGTATATTTGACCGGATTCTGTTTGGGTGGACATGTAGCCGGTATGGTTGGTAATAAATTACGCGAAATTTACAAGGGTCATATGGTATCAGCAGTCTGGGGTAATTTTATGAAAACTAAATCAATTGCTCAAAGAAAAGTAACCCTCAATTTTTTTCATGGGCAAATCAGCATTTGATCCACCCGCAGTTGGATTTCCTCATTCAGAAATATCGGGAAAACCGAGGAGAGTACAAAAAGGTGCTGAAAATTAATGATAATTTTTTTTTGTGCCTTCATTCCTAATTCAATTCTAAAAATCAGTATTTTAAGACCATTTAAATTCATTTGATGTGTTTGGTTGTGTTTTTGGTAGGCGATGCAAAATTTGTAGGAGTGTTTCACACATCAACAATTGGATTTAATGATACTGTCGCTGATGTTGATATAATAGTAAATGGAGCAGAATTACAACCTGGTAAATTTTGTGATGAAAAATGAAAGAAAATGGCATATTTTACAATATTTTTAATTAAAGGTTGCCAATTTGAACGGATAAAGACAGCATGTAGCCACTTTTCTGGATTTATTCTGCGGGAATTAATTGTAATGGAAAGCGAACAACTTGATAATGGTAAACTAATAGTTCATGGAGCGAATAAATCTGATCAATTTACCGTTGATTTGACAAACCCACCTCATGATAAAAAAGGCGTTTATCACGTTCAAACTGGCATGATATTCGAAACGAAAACGGAAGGCTTCTTACGACGAATGTCTAACTCTTTTTTAAAAACCAAATAACACAGATATTGTCTTCTGTTTCACTATATAAAAATGAAGTGAACTATGCAAACATGTTTATATAATGTGTGTTTGATGAAAATAAAAATAAAATTATAAAAAAAAAGAGTTCAGAATTATTTCGATATGGTATTTTCTATTTGTTTTACTTATTTTAGGAGCAGCACTAAAATCGGTGTAGCAAGAACGCACTTAACAACATAAGAATGAAGCTCAATTGTGTATATCTAAAAGATGAAGACTTAAGGCTGAATGTAAACTCATTTCTTTCGAATTTTCGATTGAACACAGAAGTTTATTAAACATTTTATAAATATTCTAACATTATTTTCAATTCAGTCGATATAATTTCAGTCAAATTTGGTAGTATAAATGGTATAAATGTGGAATGCTTATTCAAATGACACATACGTAGGTTGCTCCATAATTTTTTTTAAAATGGTACTTATAGTGTTGCCCGATGTAAACCATTGTCATATTCGTAAAGTTTGATGTTTTGGTATGTATTCGTGCCCTGAACCTTTTGTCGTACGAACGCTATTTGTATTGTTTACAGTGACTGGTAAACTGCGACTCAACAAAAAAATGAATTTTACACGTGAAGATTTTCGTAAAATGATTTACTACGATTTTCGAAGTAAATTATCTCAACAACAGTGTTTCGATCGACTTCATTTGGCCTTTGGCAATGAAGCACCAACCCTTCAGACAATTTATAACTGGTACCGAGAATTCCGTTGCGGTCGTAGTTCGCTCAAAGACGAGTTTCATACAGGTCGTCCAAAATCGGCTGTTGTGCCACAAAACATCGATGCTGTCAGAAAACTGATTATGGAAGATCGTCATGTGACCTACCGTGAGATTGAGGCATCTTTGGGCATTTCATCCCACAGCATACATACAATTTTGCATGAACATTTAGCCGTAAAAAAGATTTGCTCTCGTTGGATCCCACATAAATTGACCGATGAACAAAAAATGGCTCGTGTGAGTTGGTGTAAAGAAATGCTCAAGAAATTCAATCGTGGTGCTTCAAAAGACGTTAATAAAATCGTCACTGGTGACGAATCGTGGATATATGCCTATGAGCCCGAAACGAAACAGCAGTCGACTGTATGGGTCTTCCAAAATGAAGATAACCCAACGAAAGTTGTTCGAGCAAGAAGCACTTCGAAGCGAATGGTCGCCTGTTTTTTCGGGAGAAGTGGTCATGTGGCAACCGTTCCACTAGAGGATCGTAAGACCGTCAATTCTGATTGGTATACCACCATTTGTTTGCCCGAAGTGTTTGGTGAAATAAGAAAAAACAACCACCGTCGCAAAATAATTCTTCATCACGATAATGCGAGCTCTCACACATCTTTTCAAACTACTCGATTTTTGACCGGTCAAAACATCGAACTGATGGGTCATCCACCGTACAGTCCTGACCTGGCACCCAATGACTTTTTTTTGTTCCCAAGCGTGAAGAAAAAACTACGTGGTCAACGATTTTCGACACCAGAAGAAGCAGTTGAAGCGTTCAAAACACACGTTTTGGAGATATCAGTTTCGGAGTGGCACGAATGCTATGACAAATGGTTTCATCGAATGCAAAAGTGTATCGATCATCTCGGGGAATATTTTGAAAAACAATAAAACCATTTTCGACAAAAAACAACTGTGTTATATATGTTTTTAAAAAAAATTATGGAGCAACCCTCGTATACACGTAGAATTACGTCAATAAGGAAATATATTTGTAAACAATTTACGTATATAAAACTAAGTGCGCTTTATTCTCTTAATCCACTCGACAAACTCAATTTGTAAAGTAATTAAATAAAATAGAAAGTGGTGATCATGTTTTGGAGTAAAGTCATTTTTTCTTTGTTGTCTTTGAGCGTGTTTTCCAGTGAGTGTAAATTAAGTTTAAAACTTTCCCATATTTAATTTATTATTATTTTTTTATTTTGTTTATTTATCATCGTTGTTTCAGAAATAAATGCAGCGCCTGATTATAAAAAAGAAATTCAAATCTCCTGCGTTTCAAATCCAAATGCTACGGAATTCACTACGTTTTTTCTTAAATACGATCCAAGAATGTCAAGTTATGGTCATAAATTCCACCCTCAACAAATGACAGATCTCAAAAATGTAATTGGCAACCGTGAAAAGATTATCTTCTTCTTCCTTGGGCACGAGGACTATTTGAGGCGTTCCGGTGAGTTTTGAACTTTGTTTTTTTCTAATTCCAATACTGACAACTCAATTTCTTAGCTGGTCGAAGTTTTTACGTAGCAAGAGGTAATTTTAATAAAGAATTTGATTTACTTTGAGCTTAAAGCTAATAACAATTTCATGTTCCGTTTAGCACAAATGTTAAAAAGTGAAGCATGCACGTGCACCGTGAGCTATGCATTTCTTAGCGGTCATGAACTATTCAAGTACGCACAATATTTCCCAGCAATCAACAACCGAATTCCGCGAGTAATTGAGATGATGACGACTTTTATAGAGAACATTGTAGATTCGAACGAATTTAGTATAAAGTTGTCTTCGATTTATTTGACGGGATTTTGCTTGGGCGGTCATATTGCAGGAATGATTGGACAAGGATTGAAAAACGTTTATAGAGGAGAAATGGTTCCAGCAATTTGGGGTAAATAATTCAATAATCTAATCAATTCAAATGATCATAAAATAATATGATCGATTTTCGAAATCTTCTAGCATTTGATCCTCCTCGAATTGGATTTTCTCCCTATAATGTATTTCCGAGACGAGTACAGAAGGGAAATGCCAAATTTGTTGCAGTATTCCATTCGTCTCCGCTTGGTGTCCAAGATTTAATCGGTGATGTTGATATAATGTTGAACGGAGGAACGAGTCAACCTGGGTACGATGGAAAAAATCTTTCTATTTTCAGTTTCAAATTTCCAGTAATATCTTTTGACTTTTCAATAGATGCGAAAATGAGTTCAATACCTTTGGATGTAATCACTACGCTGCTTTTATTCTGAGAGAATTAATCTTATTGGGTGGTGATGAACTTCGAAAAAATGCAAACGGAATCGCATTTGCAACCGGAGAAATGAATAGTTCTGATCAGTTATTGCTTGATTTTACCAATCCGGATTTCAGTAAAAGAGGAATTTATCATATTGTCACTGGCGCAGTATTTGAAACTAAAAAAGAAGGATTTTTTGATCGTTTTACCAAAAATTTCAGAGCGCCTGGATGCTTTTAAGTTTCACCCCTATTTTATATGATTCATTAAACCATGCTCTGGAAAATAAAGTGAAATTTATTTCAAATATTCCCTTTTTTAATTTATTAAAATTAATTTTTGATACACGAGAAATGTGTCTGAAAATGTTTAAATTTTGCATCTATCTCATATTCGAATAATTTTCAACAAATGTCTGTGGTTGCGTGAAAAAAATGATCATATTGTGGGATGATACAATTTTTTTAATAAATTATAATTATTTATCTAACGAACGACTCAATAAAGTCATATTAATTTCCATAATAAAATTTTGGTAATTTTTTTTTCAATTATTCCTCGATAAAATAAATTATAATTGAAGAACCCTCGAAAACATGGAAGAAATATTGAATTGATATTTATTTTAAACACCCTTGAGAAGAGAATGATTGTGTTAATTTACCTTGAATCGTATTCGTGTAGAAAATCCGTAATGATTTTTTCTTTATACATATTAATTTATTATTTTTGAAAATTACTACATTCATCCTAGTACTAGTAATGGTGTTTAAATTCGAATATTTGCTTTGCGTTGTGTTTGCGTTAAACGCACCATGTACGCATTGAATGTGTGGAGACTTCACAATGATTTGTCATTTTCTTGCTGTCAATGTATTGACACATCATCGTTAAACAAAATACAAAATTGATGAAAAAAACACATAAACTTAATTAGAAGAAAGTTTTTTCTTAGCTGAGAAACGGAGAATATAAACAAATAAAAGTTAAAAGTGAGTAAAACTTGTGGTATTTCACGATTACTCACAGTTCATAGAAACCATTAATTTTACATTATATGTACTTCTACATCACAGCTTTCGAATCTGAAGTTCGATAGAAATTAGCCAAGCTGGCTCGAAATCAGATGCGTCGTGCACAAGGTTATAGTTATCAGCCGTTATCCCAAGCGCCGGATCGGCCCAGAGATGATCTTATCGAAGATGAAAATCAACGGTTAACAGAGGAACTGCAAGAAAAGGTCGGTGCACTGAGATCGCTAACCATCGATATTGGACATGAAGTACGCTATCAAGATAAGTTACTGCGAGGTATTGACGATGATATGGATCGAACTGGTGGCTTCCTTTCAAACACAATGAATCGTGTTATTCGGCTTGGACGAAATGGACACCAAAAATATATGTTTTACATCTTTTTATTTGCATTGTTTGTGTTTCTGCTACTGTATTTTGTAATTAAATTCAGATAATATTCGAGGTATTGAAAAATAAATATCAGTTTGGTACATTGCTATTATTGAACTGATTGAGGTTTTTGTATATATAATCGCATAGGTCATGATTCCGATAATCCACATTTATATTAGCACTAATAAAAAAATACCAGTGAAGTGAACCGGTTTGACATTTCTCATTCAAACCGATTTCGGAGCGGTATCTCGGAATTGGTTTCGTTTTGTGTGAACGAAACGGAGCAAGCGGAACGTTCCGAGAATGGTTTGTATGGCCACGTATACGTGAATAGCAATGCACACTAATACACACACAGCCATTGTACGGTCGTGTGTACAGTCCAAACCATTGTCGGAACGTTCCAATTGCTCCGGTTCGTTCGGTAAGTGAAACCAATGAAATGGTTTGGTTTTGGTTCACTTCACTGAAAAATACGATATTCAGCATATAAACCAAACCTTTTTCTTATTATGCGTACGGAAGAGATGATTCGATCTTGTATCAACAAGTGTTTTCCCATGGGTCAAAATTGAAATAAAGTTATAAAATTTCATACAAACCGTTTCACCTTTTAAATTGATCTTACCTCTTTCATTGTGAAAATAAAACAACATTTTTATGGTTTGAATAAACATTCATATTTTCTTTATTTTTCAATGCGGCGATATTTATTTCTTTCTATTCACCGGTTTTCCGATTTTGGATATGCGTTTTTTTTTAATTCTACGACAAGCTCTCATTTATAATAAATATATAAATAATAAATGTGTTAGTCGTTACAAAACAAAAATATTGTCTCTAAAAACGCAAATTAGTGATAATTGTGTTCATTCTGCAATGAAGGAAGAGTTTCTTCATTTGATTGGAAGTGATTAGGCTTAAAAAAGTGTTTTAATATAATTCATTTTCGATCATTCGATACTACAAAAATGTCTAGTATAATAATATTTCTAATTGGGTAATAGATTTCTCATGTGGAATAATTGAGAATATTGCATTATTCGATTGCAATTTTTGTTAGTAAGGTCGTTTACAATTAGACATTAGTGGGCGCATCTAGTGCGCATATGATTGACTTCATTACAGCGGCTGCAGCAAGTGATGCATAATTTTGCCATTTTTTCGTTGTGATACCATCTTTATAGTCCGAAATTCCTTTTGAGTCGAGATAAAATGAACGAAATTAAAATTTTGTTATTGAAAAAAATTAAATTATTTTTTTAAAAATCATTACCTTTGACTATAATGAAACTATCACGACAATTTCCAATAATGCTGTCCAATACGGAGCTCATTTCAATATCAGTAGCGAGCAAACCATGCGTTCGTGCAAATTCAATACGTTCAGATTCAGATCGAATAATATCTTTGCCGGACCCGATGGGACCCAAGTGCAAACGATTCTCACCAAATGTATTTCCGTCAGCAGTAGTGTCTGTCGGTTGGGGATGCTGTACTTCGATCACTTCACCATTGCCAATATTCATGTACAATTTGTCTGTATTTGCTGCTGGACGGGTAAAATCGTTTTCGGTACGTTCCTGAAATTCATTTAATGTTTTAATTATAAATTCCATACAAAATGTCAAATTTGAATAATGAAACCAACTTGTAAATGGTGAAGTCCTTCTTTGATGTATTCATCCCATGGACGTTTTCCAGATACATGCAACAGATTTTTGGAAATTTCTTGCAAACATGCATTCACTGGATAGTATCGTCGTGTTCCCTGTTCATCACCACCATTGTAAAAATATATGCTCGGCTTTTCATTTGTATTTCTGAAAATGATCGAGATGATTTCAAATTCTTTTCTTTTTCTCTTCTTGATCTTAATTCTACTCAATCCTGGAATAAAGTAATTAATAATTGATATAGTGTCCCTTACCCATTGAACAATTGATTCTGATCAATGTGTGAAATAACAACGTCGCCAAGGCGAACATGCTTTTTGTAATCTGTATAATGAGGAATGCCTCCGGCAACACCAACAATGAACACATAATCGACTTTTTGAAATGTGCCCAATAGTCGTGTCGTCGTGTTTCCGGTGGCAGTCATTGCTTCGCGTGTACTACCGACCGATGGCAATTTCGTGCTGACAATACGATGTGCACCAATATTGCCCAACGTGTACACATTCGATTCACCTGAAATAAATCGATCAATTAAGGTAAAGAATCTACCAAATTAAAAGTTTCAATCTTCCACCAATATTTAAAAAAAAAGTGTGTGATTATAATTATGTTCCTGTCACCAAATTATATGCAGTCTTAAACCAATATTTATTTATTTATTTAGAAGCGAAATAAATGAAAAAAAAGAAACTATCAAATGAAATCATCAAAGTTGTCAGTCACTCAAGGACAAAATTATAATAAAATTACGCAAACGATTTTAAGTCAGTCAAGCGAGTCTTTTAAAGTGAAATGTCAAGTTTGTATTTTGTATAGTGCAGTATTGTTTACAAAAAAAACTAAATGTGTTGACGAAATAAACGAAAAAAATCTTAAATATAAAAATGAACATAAACAAAATGCCATATTATGACAACTTAAAAAAATGGAATTGAATGGTGGTGTCGACAAACCAAGGTGTGTGTATTATTGGGTGTATTGGTGGTCCGACAAAAAAATGTTTCATTTCAAAGTTTCCTTACCGAATCGTTTACTCTTCGTCATCTGTTGCGTGTGAAAACCGTTGGTTAGGTCTTTTTCAGGAGAGCTTCCTGTTTCGTTTGCATGTGAGTGCGTCAACATTGCCGTTTCGATTTCAAAACATTATTTGGTAGTCAAAGGATTTTTGGTTTGGTTTAGTAGAACAACAGTTGGATTTAAAATACAAATTATTGAAATATAAAAAAGAGAGAAAGATAAATAGGGTAGAGAGAAAAAATTAGCAATCTAAATCTGAAAATCAAGTATCAATTTAGTATTCTAAATTTGAAAATAGCATGCAATTAATTTGAGCAGCAATAAAACTTAATCTAAAAGCAAAATTCTTCCAATTTCAATGATTGATTGGATTTGAAAAAGATCAGTTACTTTATTTGAAGAGCAAATTAAAAAAAATACCAGGCTGAAATTTATAATAAATAAAAATCTCCCATATAACCATAATAAAATTCAAACTTACCGACTGTTGTATACCGAACGAATGTCTCTTTATTTTCCAACATAGCATCAACAGCCAATTTTTCACAATATTGTGCAGTTATAATGGCTATGGTTGGTTGCTTATTCGACGCAATGGTTGGCATTTGCTTGACGACCTAGTATGATAATTATCTCATTAGCACATTGTTTTCTCGTATTATTATTTTTTAACCCCGATTCGAAAGTTTTTTGACTTAATTACCTTAATTTCCGTGTCTTCGTGATGGATGCGGGTGAAGTGCTGGAATTCCATTGCTTTGATAATGCCACGACTTTGGAGTGACAGCATAATTTGAAGAACTTCTTCTTCGGTCCAGCCATGATTTCTATATCGTTATTAATTTCAATTTCATTAAGCATCAAATCATATGAGAAGATATTAAATGCTTACCGTGCTAAATCTTCTGGTGTAATTGGGTTCGGATATGCCTGTTCAATGTATTCCAACACTTTCTCGGCGGTTAATGGCACAAAGTCGTATTGTGAATCTTCAAACGAAACTGAATGAAGGCAAAAAAAATAATAAAAAACGTTACAGTACATGTGGGTGAGCAAGAATTGAAATGTCAGAAATCAACTGTTAAATAACACGAAATAAAAAATTTAATGGAAAACGCATGACAGTAAATCGTGGAAAGCAGAAGGTTGATCAAAAATTGCATTGTCACACATGACACATAGCATAAGATTTCAATCGCAATTCGTCAGATTCAAAAACGTGATTAGTGACATAAATGATTATTTTTGCACGGAATCGATTGGATTTTCACATGCAACGCGAATTAGTGGAGAAGCGAAATTAGATATTTTCCCAATGTGAAAGGCGTTATTTCAATTTTTTTTCAGTTTTTGAATGCAATGAATATTATTTTCGGTATTGGTTAAATAAAGAAAAACTCTATCCACCAATAATATCCCAAATTATATAATAAACAAAACAGGCAATTATTATTCTATTGATCAAACAATTTAATGATACAAACGGGTGAAACACAAAATTCGACGAGACAACAAAAAAAAAATACGATTTTAATTCGGAGCAAGAACCAACTAATTCATTCAAATCAATAAAGAAAAAATTGCCACAAAACATATAATTTAAAGAAATTTTCAGCTGAAAAGCGATATTTCTGTGTGATATCTTATTTTCGTTGAATTGCTGGCAAAACAATTCAAATTACGAATTAGCCCGGCAATATTAATGAAAGTTGAACAACGATTAAATGAGACAAATGGGAATGAGATGATTACAACTGTAATTTGTTTTTTTTTATTTTGCATACACGAAAACACAAAATACACAATAAACATTCAAAGACAGACAAAATGCGAGATAGAGAGAGAGAGTTAGATTTATTGTTATCGTTTATTTCGTTCATTTGGTTTAATAGATTTAGTTGTTGAGATTTGGTTTGTTTGCATGTTATAAACATCCAACCAGATATCTTTCATCACGTCACCTGTGCGGGCTTCACGCATCGCATCCATTGCTTCTTGATATTTACGCTCACAATCACCGTAACAATAAATCAAATGACCTTCTCTTGCTAAAATTTATTCGTTTAACACAAAGTTTCACAGTTTTTGTTTTTTTTTTTCAATTTTTCATACAAATTGCAAAAAATTTGAATGTTTAAACAAAGAAGTAAGTAAAGAGATAGAAAGAAGTAAGATAAATTTGATAGAATAATATTGTAAAATATATTTTTAACTTACGTGGTCGTGATGGTGGTGCGGACGTTTGTTCTAAAATACGAAGTTCAATTTCCAATGCTTGAATTTCATTGTAGCCCTTTTGCAGCAATTTCATAATTTTCTTTATGAATCCAACATAATCTAAGAAAATTTGTTTGTCACTTGTTATTTGTAAATCGAATGAAAACAAAATTAAGAACCAAAAGCATACCTCTTGGAAAGTCCTTCGGCTGAACCAGTTCACGGAAGAAATCTTGTGCAACGTGTGCTTGCTTCTCTTCGTTGGATAACCACGATCGGAACCAAAAACGAAGTGTTCGCGCCTCTTGTGAGTGCTGTCCTGTATTACCGCTGACCAAAAATACACGAAATTCCAGGCTTAGTTGTGCTTGTGGCATTTGTGATTTGGATTGGCCATTGACAGTGTCTTTGTTGATTATGATGCCCGTGTGATCGCCGCCGGCCACATGCTGTCGTTCATTGATGCTGTCAATAAGTTTTCTTTCGATTAAAATCACCGTTGAATTTGAGGTCTTTCCTTTTGGTGTCATCACGACTTTTTCCTCTTCGAGCGGTGGCACCGAAGAATTGTGATGATTATGATGACTATTACCGTTCTGTGTGTAGTTCAATTGACTACTGACATTATTTGTTTCATGCGAACTGTGATTTGTCGATTTTGCTTTTGTTGGCTTTGGTGGCGGTGGTGGTGGTGCATGTTGGGGATGTTGTATGCGCGTTTCAAACGTTGCCATTGTGTGTGTGTATGTGTGTTGTGGTTACGTGCTTATGTGTCGTTCGATTTACCCTATAATTTTTGATTTCCACAAAATGAAAAATAAAAGAAATTCGATAAATAGTTTGTTTTGATTATAGCTATTTTAGGGTTGGCACAACGAAAAATTATAAATATATGAATATTTCATCGTGTATTCGAAAGCAAAATTATGTTTATTTTGAAATCACTCCGAACTACTTAAAATCTCGTTGAAATAAATCGCAAAGTGATCGAATTTAATCTAGGCGTCGATTAGTAAACAAATCCGTTTTCGTGTCGACACATAAGTGATCGTAATGAAAGCATAAACAATGATTCTGGTATGTGGAGTCTACATTTCAATTTGTTCTCATCACGTTGAAAATGCATTCCGCAATGATGAAATGGAATACATTTGGGTCTGGTTTAAACGTTGCGCCATGCGCTCTAAATTTCTCTGTGTCAAATGCGTGCGCGTCCAAATAAAAGCAATCTATATATAGATGTACATGGATTGTCGAGTCGATTGTAAATAAATGATCAGAAGAATTCTCATCAGAATTGGCATGTGGAAAGATTAAAAATCAGCTGGACTCCTGTATTACACTGGTGAGTCTGTTTACTTCACAAATAAAAATACTTGGCATTTTACACTACGAAATTTTACAGAACAGTTCCAAAACTGAATCCGTTTGAGTTTCCAAATCAAAATTACGGACTCAACCCTAGTTCAGGTGGTTATGGTTTCAGTTATGTACACATAGACTGTGTATAGCGTAAAACACGTAACCAATAATCAAAGGAGAAGAGGTACTCTGGAAAAAGAAGTCATCGGAATGTCGCTTCAAAAATTCAGTTGTTTTCAAAGTTTTGTTTCTTTTCTCTGCCACGCGATTTTTGCGTCGAAATCGAAATGGAAAGTATGACCGTGATATCGCGACCATCCAAACAAAATAATAAAGCAATGCAAAGCAACGTGCTTCGTAAATGGATCAAAACCGAATGAAATATTTTCATTTGATTTTCAGCAAGCATTATCGCATCAGCTTTGTTTCTACGATTTCAACAGTAACACAAAACAAAACAAAACAAAACAGAAACAAGTGAGTTGAATGAATCTTTCGCGCAGCGAGAGTGCAGCAAATTTGAAACACTTGGTCGCTTTTCAACATTAATAACAAGTAATCGTTTTACTTCATCGAAATTTTAACGATGGTTCTTTTGCATATTGCATTTCACGCATTTACTTGGTTTAGTCTCATGTTCACGAGTGAATAAAAAGTGCATTATTATGAGTCCGAATTCCACATGTTTTTATCATTCAACTGGATGAAAATGTATAGTTATAAACAGAGCAAACTTCGAGACACATAAAATGATCATTCCAATATACGTATTCTATAATTAACAAACGAAGAGAGTAGTTCTTAGAGAGATTGTTTAAATTTTGTTGGGATCGATGTTCAGTTTTTATTCGCTTGAAATCACTCGAAACTAATCAGCCAGAAAAAGTCTTAACAAATAAATAAAATTCAACATAAGAATTTTCTTGTTCTGTTCTTATTTCTAAAACGAACAAACTGGGTCAACGCAAATTTATGGGCGATTTCCTGATGTAATCACAATGTTATACATTATATGGTAAAACGTATCTTTTGAATATGGATGTGTTCACAATATTAGCTCATGCATGTCGCGAAATGTATTAGAAAAGAGAGAGAGAGAGAGAGAGAGAGAGAGAGAGAGAAGAAAATGAAATGAAAAGGAGAGAGATAAGTATCTTGAGTCCTATACATAAGCAAATATTCAATAAATCTATCCGAAGAATGCGTTTACTTTCAATTTCAAACCCATAAACATGACAACTTTGCAGCAAATTTGTTGGTGTGTTAAAAATAAATTTTATCGCTTGACGAGTTCAAAGACATCACCAAATCTTTAAATGTGTCACGTTTTTATCTATCCAGGTTTAGAATAAATCTTCCAAATGTGTAAAATTATGATCAAATTTCATTTTAAATTCATGGAAATAAACATTCTTGGTGCAGCAATAATTCATTAGCCGAGCCTCTGAATGTATAACTGATGCATAGTGGCAGTGAGTGCATTTTATTTACAGAATAATCAAAACCTTGTTTCGTCGGATTGTTCATGCGTATTTTCAAAACGATACAAAAATTAAAATGCATTTTTTCAGATTTACTAGAATCAACGATTTTACAACTTGAACTCAGTAAATAAAAGAAATATTATTCCAAAGTACAAATAACGATTTCACAGTACAGAGTTCCATACGCCCCCAAATGTATTCTCAAATAGTAATAAAATATGTCAACATGCTTTAATCAAATTTATGATAATGGCATAGTGCACGCTCATTCCAACGAATTTCACACATTTGCCAAAGATTTTAATTTGAAAATATAAAATTAATGTATACAAAAAGGGCATAAGATACCACCCATTAATGGAATTTTAAGTCCAAAACAATTTGCGGAATGTAATAGTTTTAGAACCGTTTTCATTTGATATAAGTATTATAATAACCTACATCTAACAAATATTTTCGACAATATACACCATTATACTAAAACCTTCGTATGCAAATATATATAAATATACTCGCAGAGTGAAGTTCCGGTGACGCCAGTATTTGGGATTGATGTTTACCTTATAATTTATAAGTTATAAATACAGACTACCAGGGAACGATAAATGACGAAATTTGAGCGAGAGACATAGAAATCAAGAAATGGGAAACACACCCCATAGAACGTATTTTTTTGTATGGTTAACCGGACTAATTGAAAAGTAAACATCACATAGTGTGCAATTGTGCATGGTATTTAATTTAACAAAAATCGATAGCGCTGTTTGATTTTGTGCTGGCTGCGTGTGAGTCGTTGTTGGTTGGTGAGTATTTTGTTTCCATGTCATGCAGTATTATTGACGTTCATCACGAAACAACTTCAAATGGGCAGCCAGTAGTTGGTATAATTCAATATTTCTAATTCGTATAACATGCGAGCATTGTTGTTGTTTTTAAAAAGGTGCTCTTTACCGAGTACTCATGTGTGACTTTGTTTAAGGAAAATAATGATTCCGTTTTAGCTCTGTCACAACAATTCAATTTGCAGTCAAAGAAAAAAAGGGGGGCAAAGAACATGGGTATCAATTTTTGTTTTGTTTCTTTATTTTCGACACACCACACGTCTAGTGTATGAGAAATCTATTGGCGCGGTGTCAATTGCCATGTGAACTATTTGAGAGTTGTCAAAAGGCCACAAAAAATCGAGTAATAATTTTTTTGTTTTCGTTTAATTCACGAGAGAACAGCAAGTGTTTTATTTTTAATGAATCGCGCATTTGTGTGAGGTCATTTGACCTTGAATATTGACTAAATAATTGACTCATAAAATTCAAATTTGTCACATGAATGGATGAAGTGGCTGCTTCCACGGAAAGTGGAAGAAGCTGATAACTCGAATGAATGACTCGATTCATAATGTCAGTCATAATGTTTTCTCTCATGAACGCAATCGGTTATTTACTACATGTATGTTTTACCCGCCCAAAAATTCATCGTCAATGATTCAAATGCACTCATTTGTTAGTCTCAACAATGTAATTTTTTTGAAATAATAGCAATTTCTCTCATCCCAACCGATTATATAGCGATAATGTGAATGGATGTTCGAAAAAAATTGGAAATTGATTGATGCTAATTCAATGTCATTGTAATCTGAATGGAAAATTATCGCTACCGCAAAAACCAATAAAAAATTACATTTTCCATGAGAGGCGTCTCTCTCTGGTACTTTTATTTCACAAGAAAGTAACTATTGCCATTCACAAATCATTCAACGTAATTCAATCAAAGCTGTAATCTTTGAGAAATAATTTCAACATTTCGAAGTTCAACCAGATTGTTGTGAATTCAGTTGAATTATAAACAAGGCTAGCCGAACATTCAATATTAAAATCAATTCTACGAACGGTGGAATAAAGTAACCGCATGCACAGATCGTGTGTTCGTGTGAAACGCGACACAAATTCTCTCGTTTGGCGTTGAAGCCATTTATTGTAGCTTGCAATGCAAGTGAATGCGTGTTAGATCCACTGTTCATCTTGTACACGTTCATAAATGTATGTCATTCATGTAAAACAATACAAGCGTAATTATTTTCAATAGCTTATTTTTTTACAAATTATCATTTTATTTATTGCCTAAATGAAACAATTAAAAATATCTTCACATGCAGGCACAACATATTTCGAAACTCCCCAAAACGAAACACATTTTTCATTCATTGAAGAAAAAATTAAACCAAAACCTGACGTCCGTACAATGTGGGTCTTTTGCGAATAAAAAATTATTGAAAAATTGACACGTCTCTGACGATATTCAAATAATTAACTGTTTTGTTGGTATGAGTCTTTTTTTCAATTTCATTTTTATACTGACACTTCGAATGGGTACACAATACGCATAGTAATAAGGTAGAAACGTGATTCATTTCGTACTACGCAACCAGCAAAGGTGAACAATAAAACAGTATTCTAAATCTGTCGTTCGTGCCAGCACAGACAAAATGAAAAAACGCATATCGAATGTGTGTACTGGGCACTCTTCAAAGAAAAAACATTTCAGCGAGTATTGCGTGCTACTGCTGCTGTGTGGGCATTCATTATAAACTCTTTATGAGAGAGCGACTGAAAGGGAAAACAAAAAACACAAACCAAAACAATAAAAACCAAATAAACGTACAAGATCACGGTAGTTTGTAAACAAAAATAAACCACGATGATTCACAATGGTTTGTTTCAATTGGATTACAGCATCGGCACGTATGTCAACAAGGAATTGTTATATATTCACATTCAAATATGTGCTTTTTTCAGTAGACTGCGAATGCTGTTAATATCATTGAGACTTCCGAATGAAAGATTGCGGAAAAGTAAAAGTACTTCAAATGTCAGTATCGATTGAAATTCCGACGATTTGCATTTCTATTCACCGAAATGGCCCGTGGGTTCATTACGTTCACATG